TCTGCCAGATGTTTTTCCTAGAGAAAGGGTTTCAAATCAGCCACTTAGGCGGTCTATTACTAGTGTAAAATAAATTCCACTTAACATCATTACAGCATAGGAGTAACTATATTGCTCAAAGATACATAATCTTGATACACAGTATAATTATTTCAGAGCTGTCATCACACATTTATCCAGTATGTATGTATCCAGCACAGTGAAAGACACAGCTTACGTGGGGGGAGACAGACTTGCTACTATTGGTTTTTAAAGACAGGATGTGGAAAGTCAAAATAATTCTAGATTACCAAGCAATTAACATAAGGACACACAGAGAGAATGCAGGTGATGACAGATTCCTACTTTCATTTTCAGTGGGAAAAAGAAAAGCTGTAATTACAACTGAAAGTTAACTGAAACTGATTTCCAAATTCAAAGTAGATATCATATATTATATGATGATATATATGTGTCTGGGATATAATATCATACCTGATAGAGATATATAAAAAGAATAGGACTATAGTCGAATTCAACTTAAAGTTTAAGCAAATTTAAATGTCTCTTCTCCTTACATATATATTTGATCTAATCACAGCAATCTGCTTTGAAACCAAAGAGATCTGGCATTTTACTTCTTTATTAGTGACTGAAACAATAAGACCTTTGGCTTTCTAACCAGCCATTTCATTCATGGCTTCAAGAGCCAATGGCAGCCACATGGAAATGGATGCTGGCTATTTGGATAGTTTAAATATTATGTACAATCAATAGCTTATAACCAGTGAAAATAGTAAGAACATAATTCAGCGTAAGTGTTCAAGGTAAGATACAAAAAAGCAGAGAAAGTGCTTGAGTCTACAGGTCTTCCCTGAAAGTGTCAAAAATTTTAACTCTAAGCAAGTAGGGCTCTTAATATAATTTGCATAGCAGCATACAAGGTAATTTGCATTAAAAAGTATGAACAGAGATTCTTCCATGGCTTTGAAAACAAATATAACCACATGCATATAAGCAAGAAGACCTGGAATTTCTCACAAAACTAAGAAAAAGTCTATCATAGCTTTTTCTCACACTTTTGTCCATTAATGCCATTTATAGCAAAACCTGTTTCTGAGAGAAACATAATCTTGTCCAGATTCCACACAGCTGAATTTTTTTGCCCCAAGACCAAATTCTGATTTATCAGTTAAGTGCCTTTTTCAGCTGGAAAAAGCTTTGTTACCATTCTGCTTAGGAGGATAAATTAAGAAAACAAATAATCAGTTACAACATTAGCCATTTGTTGTTTATATTTTTCTACTTATAAAAATATAAGAAATAAATAATTCAATCTCTCCTGTCATGCAATAATTTTCAGTAACAAAGTTTGTGAGAGTAAAGATGATAAAAACAGGTACTATTAGACTTTCCCTAGCCTAAAAAGTGCGAAAATATGGCTTTAAAAGAGATGAATGAAATTTAAAGTAACATTTTTGATTGCCTACATATGTTCCAATATTTAACTTGAAACTCTTATCTACTAGGTAGATGAGTTTACAGTTATGACTATCTAATAAATACTGTATAAACAAACATTAAAGTATTTCTTCATATAAAATATTAGTTACTAATTTCCAGGTTCATTTGATGACTTCAGGAAAGGATTTAACTTTTTCAGGAAAAAAAAAATGAACCTTTTCTTTTTCTTTTGTTCCTTTCCTCTTCTTTTTATGGAGGGAAGTTTTAGGGAAAGAGGAAGACTTTTCACACACCAGTTGGCTGCTTCCGGGCGCCTTGTGTGGAATGTGGAGAAGACGTCTCAGCCCCAGGTCTCAGGGAAGTGGTCCATCTGAATTGGGGGGACACTAATCTGCAGTTTCCTTTCCATTTTGCACACAGAAGCCTACAGCATCCTCAACAATTGTCCTAATGCAAAATGAAAACAAAAAGTTGGCTGGTTCTATAAAAAAGTTGAAATGTGGACAGGCCTGTGGCTCAAGGAGTAGGGCGGAGGCCCCATATACCGGAGGTGGTGGGTTCAAACCGGCCTGGCCAAAACTGCAAAAAAAAGCCCAAAAGTTGAAATATCAAAAATGCCCATTTTTTAGTTATCATTTGAAAATGATTTGCCATATTTTGGCATTTAAATACAAAATACCTATTTGTCAAGGTGTCCCATTCATTAGAAAGCACTTCATTTGTGGCTTGAAAAATTCCACAAACACAATTATTACCCATGACTGGAAAGCTGTTAATGTAAATCAAGTGGCCTAAGGGCTCTTGCTCTTGAGGCAGCTAATGGCCAAAGAAAACCTCCCATATACTTTCATTTCACATCATAACTAAAAAGATATTATTGAAAACCCTAAGGCCAGGCATGGTGGCTCATGCCTGTCATCCTAGCACTTTGGGAGGCTGAGGTGGGTGGATCGCTTGAGCTTACAAGATGGAGACCAGACTGAGTAAGAGTAATAACCCGTGTCTACTAAAAATAGAAAAACAAGCTGGGCGTTGTGGCAGGTGCCCTTAGTCCCAGCTACTCAGGAAGCTGAGGGAGGAAGATCACTTGAGCCCAGAAGTTTGAGGTTGCTGTGGGCTATGATGCCACAGCACTCTACCAAGGGTGAACAAGTGAGACTCTGTCTCAAAAAACCCCCAAAACCTATGGCCCTCAGTGCTATAAAGGACAGTTTAAGCTTGAGCAAAGTAAGCTGAAATGTACACATACCCTGCCTCTTTGGCTCACATAAGTCACACATACTTAAGATCTTCATATAACTAACAAGCAGGGTGGCTCAGGAGTTCCCTTGCAAATCTCAGTGACTTAGCCTTTCACATTAACATAGAAAACCTCGGCTTGGCGCCTGTGGCTCAAGCGGCTAAGGCGCCAGCCACAGACACCTAAGGTGGCGGGTTCCGATCCCCAGCCCGGGCCCGCCAAAACAACAATGATGGCTGCAACCAAAAAATGGCCGGGCACTGTGGC